TTTTTTTTTTTTTACCTTAAACCGCATAAACACATTTCATTAAACCAAATACACAAAATAATGTTCTTTTAGCAACATCATATGACCCCTTTAAAACATTATTTTAGGCTTAATGTTTTGGCCAGAGAGTGCGACTGACCCAAATGAGATTATTTCACACAAGTCCTATGAGTGGCCACCAATGGCTCATTAAATCAGTTTTGCTTCCTTTGATCACTCCATTCTGTACTTGCTGAACTGTGGAAAGTCCAGAGCAAATACATGCAAATGAGTGTCGACCCACCTCGCCGCAGGGTCGCTTGCATTTATCAGAATAATCTGTGGTTCTCAAGTTTAAGTTCAAAAGATGTCATTTAATACATTGAAGATGTGCTTCCTTTGTGTTGATTGTACATTAATTTAGGGATTCAGTGTGTAAATATTTATGATTACAATTTATTGTTCGATGCAATTAATTATGAAATTTACATTTTGTATTTCATAATCAGTTATTTTAGTATGATTTATTTTCTATTATAGTTTTTAATTAATATTTTGAATATGCTTTTGTTTTTATATTTTAGTTTCATTCAAGTTACATTTTGTCATTTTTATGTGCTTTTGTAATTTTTTTAATAGCAGTATTTAGGTTTAATTTATTTCTATTTTAGTTTTAGATCATTTTTTAGTTATTATTTCTTTCCAGCTAATCATTTTATTTGTTTGTTTTTTCATCTAATATTTATATTTTATTTATTTTAAGTTTTATTTCAATTTACAATGTTTTTAATTTTTTTTGTATTTATTTATTTATTTATTTATTTATTTTTGGCGGTTCGAGTCTCAGCATTTAAATAATAACAATATATAAAAATGATGTTATTGTTAGTTCATGATATCAGATTAAATAATTTTAATACTGCTTATAAGAAATGTAAGTTGTTGGGTTGCTCAAGAACACAACTTTTTACATGTTTTCAGAAACAGTGCTTCTCGTGGCTTATTTCAATTTTATTTTCTATTATTAGACCGTTTTAGAGATCAAGTAATACGCTTTTTTGGCCTAATAATTCATGGAAGTGATCGACAGCATGTAGCACAGACTTAAGGTTTAAAAATTGCCCAGAACATTTTTTAAAGATTTTTTTTTTCTCTTACTAAAGTGTGTGTTTATAGATCACAGTGACTTATGTATTATGAGATGAAATGAAACCACCAGAGATTTTAATGATCTTTACAGCAAATGTTTTGTTGTGATGTGAAAAACAAAGCGGTGAATTGTGGTTGTGCTGCTGCTCTCTTCAGATGTGCCTTGAATCTTGAGTTTCTTTGCGTGTGTGATCTTTACTTTACGCAGTGATCTTTACTTTCAACATAGCAACGTTTGCACCCTGTTAGTTTTGCTGCAATGGAGATGGTGTAACAAATTGTAATGATGCTTGAGCTGAGGTGAAGGCAATATTATTAATGTCAGGGTAGAGTCATCATAGCTGGGCTTTTGGGAGATTTTGAAGGTCTTGCAGGGAAAGATGCTTTTCTCCTGACTGTCAGGCAAAGTGTGGCTGTGTGTGTGGGCATATCCATCTGTGGTCAAGACCCCTAAGAACACTTGACCCCTGTGAATAGTTGCAGGGTTGTTTTGATCTTTTGTGTGTCTGTAGCCTTCGTCCCTTCAACTCAGTGAAGAGCAGCTCGCTGCATATAGATCCATATCTGTGCTGTAGTTTCAGCCACTTGAGCTCATGCTGAAGTGAAAGGTTAGGTGGTATTGATGTGCAACTTTTATTCTTTTTTACATTTTACATTATGTGCAGAGGAAGACGTGGTGTTTTATGAAGTAATATTTTGATTTCATGTTGACTTTAAAACACCTTGAAAGAATATGTAAAGTGCTCTTTGATAGTGGTAGTGGACAGCAGTGAAAGACAGCAGCGTCCATAAGCTGATTAATACTCTATTTAGCATTATGTCACTCCTCACTAAAGGGGCGACAACAGACGGAACAGAATCACTTTGCCAGCGGGCCCTACTAACCTCAGTCCTGTTTTAATGAGTGTTATTAATACATATTTCATCCATGTTTCTGTCTCTGTGTTCTTTTCAGGATATGAATGATTTCTCCCCGGTCTTCAGACAGACACTTTATAAAGGGATGGTGGCTCCAAATGCAGAGAAGGGGACAGTCATCACAACTGTGCTTGCAGAAGATCAAGACCCTCCGGTAAGTAGACAAAGCCCAAATGTAATACACTTCTGTGTTCTCGGACTCATTCTCAAATGATATTTTGTACTCCATGTTTATATGATTTTAAAATAAATAATAAAAGCAAAGGGTTTTAGTGAGGATTTGTTATGGTAAGGTATTAAGAATATTTATGGATTAGTTAGAGTTAGATATTTGAAATATGTCTTAAATGAAATGCGGGGCCAGTACTGCATGTTCAAGGTCAAGTAACTGCTGTACAGCTTTGAGATGAACAATTGAATGCAATATTTTTGGGGGTCAGTACGATTTTTTTAAAATAGTTCTATTTTTAAATTGATCAAAAGCGACAGTAAAGACATTTATAACGTTATAAAAGATTTTCAAGATTTCAAATAAATGCTCTTCTTTTGAACATCAAAGAATCCTATTAAGCAAAAGAACCATTTTCAGCACTGATAATAATAAGAAATATTTCTTGAGCTTCAAATCAGGATATTGGAATGATTTCTGAAGGATCATGTGACATTGAAGACTGGAGTAATGATGCTGAAAATTCAGCTTTGAATCACAGGAATAAACATTATAAAATATAGTAAATATAAAATATATTCAGGTAAAAAAAGTTATTTTAAATTGTAATTATATTTAACAATATTACTGTTTTACTGTATGTTTGGTCAAATAAATGCAGCTTTTGGTGAGCATAAGAGACTTATTTCAAAAACTTAAAAAAAAATCTAAATTAAAAAAAGGAATAAAATATATTTTAAAATATATTAGAAAACACAGAAAACAGTTATTTTAAATTGTAATAATATTTCACAATATTACAGTTTTTACTGTATTTTTTACCAAATAAATCCAGCCTTGGTGGTCATAACCGACTTCTTTAAAAACCATACTGACTCCAAACATTTGTACATACAATAATGAATGTTAAAAAAAGGAAAATATGTATTAATAATTATTATTTATATTAAATTTAATATTATTCTTATATTTTATTTATATAAAATTCTAATTGTTTACATTTTATTATAAATGTGTATTATTTATATTAATTATAATTAATTATTTTCTTAAATACTAAAGAATTAACAAAAACAAAAAAAGTACATTTATTTAAAAGTTAAAAATAAAAAGTACCTATGTATGTTATAAATGTATGTTACATTTATATTTTATTGTAATGTAAAATCTAATTCATTTACATCAACATGCTTTTTTAATGTATTCCAATGTAAGCACTAGCAAATCATAGCCCTGGCAAGGATAGATGTTACGCATGACTAAAAGTTTGGCAGCGTTAGCTTAAAGGGATAGTTCACCCAAAAATGAAAATGTGATGTTTATCGGCTTACCCCCAGGGCATCCAAGATGTAGGTGACTTTGTTTCTTCAGTAGAACACATATAATGATTTTTAACTTTAACCGTTGCAGTCTATCAGTCGTATAATGCATGGCAATGGTAACAAAATCTCGTGACGACACATTGATGTCCTAAGACACGAAACGATCGGTTTGTGCCAGAAACCGAACAGTATTTATATCATTTTTTACCTCTAATACACCACTATGTCCAACTGTCTTTGTTCGC